GGGGCGGGGAGGAGTGAGGTGCGGACGTGGGGTTTGGGGTGCAGGCGAGATGTGGGGTTCAGTCCTGAGATTTGGGATGAAGGGGGGTTGTGGGGTACAGATCTGGGTGCAGACCTGGGATTTGGGGTGCAGGAGGAAGTGTGGGTGCAGACCTGATTGCAGACCTGGGGTTTGGGGTACAGGGGAGATGTGGGGTTCAGACCTGAGATTTGGGGTGCAGGGGAGGCATGGGGTGCAGACCTGGGTGCAGGGAGAGTTGTGGGGTGCAGACATGAGTGCAGACCTGAGATTTGGGGTGCAGGGGGAGAGCTGGCTTTCAGATCTGGGACCTGGGTTGCAGGAGGAGAACTGGAGCCCAGATCTGGGGTACATGGGAGATGTGGGGTCACACCTGGGGTTTGGGGTGCAGCGGGTGGTGATTGGTAGAACTCATTAAGAACTCACCAACAAAGTTGAAGTTGACAAGGAGGTGTTCTTTATTGCGGCGCCGGAGACACAGGGTGTGTCTCCTCCTAAAGTGTGTCTCGTTTAAGCATCAAACAGACCATGATTATATTGGTGCTTAACATACATATTCATTACATTTCCCATAGATGTCATACATATGCATTAGTTGTCCGAGAGCTGTTTTACATAATTCCACGCCTATTTTCGCATGCGCATAACAACGTGGTGGTGGTCTTTGGTGGGCGTTTTACTTCTTCCAACGATCTTCATCACTTGTCCGTTCCTTGAACCCTTGTTCTGGAAGTCTTTGAAGCACGCGCAGTAGATAAATGGTTACACCAGCTTAATTAGTTTGGTAACACCACTGACAGAAGTGAGTGATTTCTCCTCGTCCTTCTACTTATCAGTTAACTTCGCTACAGCACCTCCTGAACATCTGCTGGTTTCAGACACTCCTTAGCTACAGTCCTGTTTTGGTTACAATAAATTTTGCCCAAAGGTCATAAGGTTCTAAAACTGTCAGCTACAATGATTTATCTTCTACAAGGAGCCTTTTTATGTTCTTCTGGTTGGGCTTTTTAGGTTTGGAAAGTTCTGTTGTTACGTACGAAGCCACCAAGGATTGTATTTTATGTTGTACTTCCTTGTCCAAGTGGTGTCTGCAGACCTGAGACCCGGTCATGGGGGTGTGGGGAGTGAACCTCCTTTTTCCGGAGGTCAGGCAGTGCCATGTGTCACAACGTGGCAGCGTCTGGCTCCAGCCCAGGTGCCACCTCCACAGGAGGATCCCGCGGGGCCACCAGCCAGCTCATTCATTAGCAACCAGAGCTGATGAGTTCCTGCTGCCCCGGCACCACCAGACTCCCCTCTTCTTCTTTCCTTCCTGCTTTGGCTGGAAGAAGAGGGTAAAGGACCCCCTAAAATTGATCCCATGGGTATGATGCTCATGGGTGCCCACACTAGGGTGGGGGTGAGCTCGGTGGTCCACAGCCAGGACCCTCAAGGTGAACCCTAAGGTAATCCCAGCTTATTTCCTCCTCTGTTCCCCACAGGGTTTTGGCCACAGTGGAGGTGATGGAGCCAGTGGCCAAGCGCATCCTGGTGACGGGTGGCACCGGCTTGGTGGGGAAAGCCATTGAGAAGGTGGTGGCTGATGGACAGGGGCGGCCGGATGAGGAGTGGATCTTCGTGTCCTCCAGAGATGCTGACTTGACGTGAGTTGATGGGGTTTTCCCTTGGGAAGCCCCCAGTCTCCTCCATTGACCCCACTGAACCCCAACTTTTCCCACCTCAGTAGCGCCACAGAGACCAAAGCCCTGTTTGAGCAGCACAAGCCCACCCATGTCATCCATCTGGCTGCAATGGTTGGGGGCCTCTTCAAGAACATCCGCTACAACCTGGATTTTTGGGTGAGCACCCAGGGAATAGGCACTATTGGGGTTCCTATGGGTGCTGCAACCCTCTGTCCTTGCCAAGGCGTGACAAAGGGACATGGCTTGCTCTGCTCCTGTCGCCAAACCAGAGTTCCTCTGGTTTCTGGAGTTCCTTATGAGCTTGTAGGGTTTGGGGTGTGCAGACCTTGGATCTGGTGGGATTTGGTGGACTCACCCTACAGATCTCACACATCTCTCCGCCTCTAGAGGAGAAACATCCATATCAATGACAACGTCCTGCATTCAGCATATGAGACAGGGGTGCAGAAGGTAGTTTCCTGCCTCTCCACCTGCATCTTCCCGGACAAGACGACGTATCCCATTGATGAGACCATGGTGAGCATCTCCATCGCCACACACAGCCCAAGAGAGGTTCCTGCTCTGCTTGACTCTGCTCTCTCATCCCCAGATTCACAATGGGCCACCTCACAGCTCCAACTTTGGCTACTCCTATGCCAAGAGGATGATTGACATCCAGAACAGGTACGGGGGAACAGAAGGGAGAGCCCTTGTAGGATGTGAGCACCCATCGGTTACCAGGGCAAAGGGAATTCCATGGGAGAGATTTAGGTTGCAGATAAATAAGAAGCTGTTCCCTGTGAGGGTGCTGAGGCACTGGCACAGGGTGCCCAGAGAAGCTGTGGCTGCCCCATCCCTGGCAGTGTTCAAGGCCAGCTTGGACACAGGGGCTTGGAGCAACCTGCTCTAGTGGAAGGTGTGCCTGCCCGTGGCAGGGGTTGGAGCTGGAGAAGCTTTAAGGTCCTTTTTAACCCAAACCATTCTATGATTCCATGCTTCTGGAGACAGCTCCATGCTGGAGTGGGGGGTGACCATGGCTGATTGATCTCCCCCTTCTCTCACCCAGGGGCTATTTTGAGCAGCACGGCTGCCGCTTCACCGCTGTCATCCCCACCAATGTCTTTGGACCACACGACAACTTCAACATCGAGGATGGCCACGTCTTGCCAGGGCTCATCCATAAGGTCTACCTGGCCAAACGTGAGTGCAGCAGGACTGCTTATGGCTTTTTAGGGGAGAGTTGGGTTGTTTTGTGGGGGTTCCCCTCCCGTCTGCTCCATGAGCTGCTCTGCAGGGTAGCTCGGGTGGATGGAGGTGGCTCCAGTGCTCAGGGACATGCTCTCCTTTCTCCTACAGAGAATGGCTCTGCTCTGACTGTCTGGGGCACAGGCAAGCCCAGGAGACAGTTCATCTACTCCCTGGTATGGCCTTGGGGACCACTCTCCTCCCATGGCTTGGGGAGGGCAGGATAGGGGGCTGGAGGGATCATCTGAGCCCCCCTGGGTTGTTCTGGGCAGCACTGGCCATCCTCAAGGTTGGGTCCCTTTGTGATGGGAGGGCTGGGGGACAACAGACACCCCCTAAGAACTATCTGCCCCTCCCCAGGATCTGGCCCGGCTCTTCCTTTGGGTTCTACGGGAATATGATGAGGTGGAACCCATCATCTTGTCAGGTGAGCCCCACAACTCCCCCCCTCAACCCCTTTGCAAGAGGATGGGGCTACCAGCCCCTATTGTGCCTGTCTCCACAGTGGGAGAAGAAGAGGAAGTCTCCATCAAGGAGGCAGCAGAGGCAATTGTGGAGGCCATGGACTTCAGGGGAGAGCTTCTTGTATCCTTCACCACAGGTTGGACCCCCTTGCTTATGGGGCTGCTGCAGCACGGCGTCACTCTACTTTCCACCAGCACCCATAGGGTTCCAGGGGAGATGCTGTGGTCTAGAACATCCCTCCCATTGGACACAGTGGGATATGATGGGGCAAAGCAAGACCTGTTCTTTCCCCTTAATCCTTCCCACCCCAGTTTGACACCACCAAGGCCGATGGGCAGTTCAAGAAGACCGCCAGCAACGCCAAGCTACGGCGCTACCTGCCCGGCTTCCAGTTCACACCCTTCAGGCAAGGTGAGATGGGGTCTCCATGAAACAGAGGTCCTGCCCACCCCAGCTACCCTTGGTGGCATCAAGGTGAACCATCCTTTCAGTGGGGGCTTGTAAGAAAGATGGGGACAGACTTTGTAGTAGGGCCTGTTGTGATAGGACAAAGGGGAATGGCAAGCTACGGCGCTACCTGCCCGGCTTCCAGTTCACACCCTTCAGGCAAGGTGAGATGGGGTCTCCATGAAACAGAGGTCCTGCCCACCCCAGCTACCCTTGGTGGCATCAAGGTGAACCATCCTTTCAGTGGGGGCTTGTAAGAAAGATGGGGACAGACTTTGTAGTAGGGCCTGTTGTGATAGGACAAAGGGGAATGGATCATAGAATGGGTTGGGTTGGAAGGGACCTTAAAGCTCATCTACTTC